TCTTCTTTTTATTTTCTTTTTGTTGACTTGCTGGCAGCAAACACTCATGAGGAGGCAATTCAATTGCCATGCGGCCCTTTTGGTTTTAGATGCTTCAAACCAGTTTTACGCAAAGATTACAAGCTTTCCTTCTTTGGTTTTGATTCCATGGTGGGTTCATCTCTACCTCCATGATTTCCTCAACTCTCCATGATTTGAGACATCCCCTGCGTTTGGAAACATATTCGGAGTTGCCTGCTGGAAATATGATAATTGAAATCATCATGGGAGATGATCTTCCCTGTTGGTGGTGGACTGAAAACATCGATGGAATTATTTGAACGGTGCCAAGCCATGGAGAGATTCTTGACTTGGTTTATGATGATAGAAATCATCATAGCCAAAAATCTCTATGGACTGATCAAAAGCTAGGTGCAGATTGCATACTTGGAAATGCTTGAGTGGAGACATGCCTTAGAGATCCCTGACTGTTTTTATGATGATAAAATCATCATAGCCAGGAACCTTTGGGTTGAACGCACCCTGGAACCTTCAGCAACCAAGAAAACAACGCCACAAAACTAAGATTTTACCTTGAGATGGCTCTTGCTTTCTTTGGTATGCTTGCTGTCTTCCTTTTCTTCCTGCGGCTATTCTCCTTTCTGCTCCTTCCGTTCTCTGTTTTCTTTTCTTTCTCCTCCTTTCTCTGTTCCCTTTTTTTATCGTAGGCATGACTCTTTTATAGAGCATGAGATTTGAGGAGTTTGAGTTGAAGTGAATAGCCACTTCTCAGCTAGGATGCTTATCCTTCAGTGTTTGATGCTTGGCAAACACTTGTATATTTTTTGATAAACTTGCAGGGAGGAAAAATTCAGTCCCGTTCAAATACAAGCTGGCATTTTATTTTATTTTATTTTAAATGGGTTGCCACCCCTTTTTTTGTTGTGAAAAATTCAGGCCCAACAGATGCAAAAATTATCGTTTCAACACTGTGCTTAGCTGAAATGCATTTCATGTTGCTCGTCATCCTAATATATGGCTTCTACATACGTATAGGCTGAGTTGAAATATAGAACTTCATTGGAAGTTCCTTTAAAATCTTTTACAATGCCATTGCTATGTATATAAACAAGATATCTTTCGCAGGTATGGTACCATTTGCAATTGGATCAGAAACAGCTGGTTCTGTGACCTATCCAGCTGCACGCTGCGGAGTGACAGCATTGCGCCCAACATTCAGCACAGTTGGCCGAACTGGTGTAATGAGCTTATCGGAAAGCTTGGTACTGCTAGTCTTCCCTTTGCAAGTTCCATTCATGTCTTTCTTTATTGCTGTAAATATAGGAAATTTATGGTTCATTTTTCTTATCAGGATAAGCTTGGGCCTTTCTGTAGAAGTGCCACAGATTGTGCAATTATTCTGGATGCCATTAGAGGAAAGGACCCAGATGATCTTTCATCAAGAGACATTCTCCTTGGTGATCCATTTTTAGTTGACATTACAAAGCTTACTGTTGGATATCTAGAAGATGCTGAGATGGAGGTTAGTGCTAATTAGTTGGAAATTAACAAAATAGATTATCCTAACCTTTGATCATTAACATTATCCATTGTTGATTCTTTTTCTTAGAGCTTAATACAGATAGTTTCTTACAGGTTGTTCATGTTCTTGCATCAAAAGGTGTAAATATGATCCCTTTCAAGCTAAACTACACAGTTGACTCTGTTCAAGGCATCCTAAACTTTACAATGGACGTGGATATGTTGGCTCACTTTGATGAGTGGCAGAGATCAGGGAACGATGATGTTTATGAAGCTCAAGAACAATGGCCTACCGAACTCCGGCGTGCACGTGTAATTCCAGCAGTAGACTATGTGCAGGTGAATGTTGTCTCCACTTTCTAATTATCAACTAATTAAGTTTTTTTTTCTAAGTGTAAATTACTTAAACGTAGGCTTCTTTTAACCATAATTATTTACAGGCACAAAGAGCAAGGGGAAAGTTAATCCGGGAAGTAAGAGAGAGTTTTACTGTGGATGCGTTCATTGGCAATGCAACTGACTGGGAAAGAGTTTGCTTGGGAAATCTAGTTGGTTTGCCTGTAATTGTTGTTCCAACAGGGTTTAAGAACATACCAAATCCACCGCCTAACAACACCACTCGAAGAAGAACCACTATCACCACCGGTATCTATGCTCCTCCTGAACGTGACCATATTGTAAGCTCAAGCCAACTTAATTAATATTTCTCCTATGGAATTAATTTCAGTCAGAAATACTAACTGTTTAATATTTTTCTCTCTTTTTTTTAAATATTTTTTTATGTGCAGGCTCTTGCACTTGCTATGGCTTACCAATCAGTCACCAATCACCATAGGCAGCAGCCTCCTATTGATGATCTTGGACCAAATGACCCAATCCCAAGTCCTCCCACATCATCGCAGTCTTAGTGGAACTGTTGCTGCAGCCTCAGCCTCTACCTGGTGTAAGTTTCATGCATACATAGTCAATATGTGCCAGCACAATGACATTGAGATGTACATGAACAAAAAAGGAAAAAAAGAAGAAAATTGATGTAGCTCACATGCAAAGAACCAATCCCATAGCTTGATATACATTTTGGCACATTTTCTATTAGCTTAAGGTTTTAGAGTTGGACAAAAAAGTGATCGTGCAGGGGGAGACTGCACCTATCTGTCCGCCTTTCACGTAGTGTTGGTCCGTTCTCTCACAGCTTAAATAAATTTGTCACCGAAAGTGAAAGCCTACACAAGTTTGTCACCGAAGGAGACGTCTTTGAGCAGGGCCTTCTTCTTGCTTTGATAAGCTGAATCTTATCTGTTTTGCACAGTTTTTCTTCTTTTGCATAAATTCTGAATCTTATCCTTCTTATTCGGGTGGGGATTGCGGTGAGTAATAAAATCGGAAGCTCATCTGTTTAACAGGATAAGCTTGGCCCTGTCTGTGGAAGTGCTGCAGATTGTGCTGTTATTTTAGATGCTATTAGAGGAAAGGACCCGGATGACCTCTCATCCAGAGACGTGCCCCTTGAGGATCCTTTCTTGGTTGACATAAGTTAACAAACCTTACTGTTGGATATCTTGACGTTGCTGATATAACAACCAATCATATGAATCAATTCTTAAAATTTCCTAAAAAATAAACGTAATAATAAAAAATTAAAAAGTTCCTAACATTCTCAAATCCCTTAAACCATATTTTTTTTCGACTGTCATCGGCTTCAACATGGATGCTGCCAGGTGGTTTGCTACTTGTGTCATCTACCCTCATTGCATTCTCACTAAATGTTATAAGTTCATCATACATTTTCATAGCACTCTTTGAAAACTCAGTCAAGGATTCAAAAACTGACGAAAACCCCTTCTGAAATCCATTCACAGTAATATTTTGTGTGTCCTTCATGCTGGTATGATGTTTCGCCGTCTCCACGCAACTCGTTCTCCATCTTTTTCAAGCCTTTTTGTGCATGCAATTTCATTTCCTTCTCAAAAAACTTCAACTGATGAATACTTTTCGTTATTTCAAATGCCAAAAACCTTCCTAGGATATTTTCTGGCAAGCCCATCAACCTTCCTCTTTTGTTGATGCTCTTTGCCTTGTTGGACCATCAAGGCTTGTACATCCTCCCCAAAACTTTTCATGGCACAAGTCACATCTTTATCTGGCAGCTTATCTAGGCAAACTAACCAATTGTGACAAATTTCAAGTGAGGGTATCATGTTGACTTTACACGGTCGAAGTGAAGACCAAGCTTCTGTGTAGGATTCAGTTTCAGGGGTAACAAATTTGTGTAGCCAACCATGAAGAGCTTCAATATATACGACGTCTGCGAAGAAACATATTCTGCAAAGCATGCACGCCAATTTTGAAGTTCTGCTTCAAGCTTTTGAGTAGCAAGCTGGTGTGACTCATTAGAGAACTTTCCGTAGGATGAACAATTGAGAAATTTCAGTTCAGACGATTTTCTTTTGGGTTTCACGAGATACTGACATTATCTTCCAATTTCTCATTAGCCTGCAGAAAGTGGGCAAGAGAGCTCATATAACAAAATTAAAAAAAATGTCAGGCTTCTCATATGGTACAAACAAATTCCTGAGATCTATCTTACCCATGTAGCAACTCAACAAGTTGTGGATGCATCTCTTCATCTCTCAGCTTTCAAATTTTTTTGAAGACTGATTATTCAGAATTTCTTATGGCAACCAAAATTCTGGAACGCAACTCCTCAACTTCAACTCCAACTCCAATTTTGTCCCCGGTCTTTAGGCCATGTCTCGATTGGGAGTGTTTTTGCTCATATATTCTCATGGTTTCCTCTCCAGCCTTGAACATACAAATTTAAAGATGATTCAAGTTATTCTCAAATTATATGGGTTGTGCAGTAGGAGAAATCAATAAAGCTGAATAAAGCAAACAATTGCTAGATTCATATTTTACCTTCACCTCCTCATAGAGTTTTTTCTCCCAAGCATATAGCTTTCCTAGTGTTAACGAATGGCATCTAGATCCCATTGCTCCATTGTCATAAAAAAGACCACCATTGAAATGAGTCCGTTTCGAAGAACTTCTGGAGCTAGATCTAAGGAGGCCTTTTCGGGAGGAAGACCAGGATAATGAACTTACTTGAATGAACTTACTTGAGTTTTCTGCACCCAAAAAATCATAGATGAGTGGATAGTAGAGCTAGAATATTATATCATGAAAATCATTATATATGTACAATTTGCTAAACAAACAACAATAACTTATGATGCAAGTAATATAAATTTGACGTTGAATTATTTATCATTGACACCCTAAAACGATATACAATATACAACAGTTATCGGTATGGTAGCCACACCAGGGTGTCCACATGTGTATTTGTGTGTGTTTGAACAATTGAAACTACAACAGAAACCTCATGTTCAATCATGGAAAGAATTTCCTTCTTTAACATATATATAGACATGTATTTCTGCAAGCAAGTCAAATTAACAAAAAGGGCTTTTGAGGGAAGACATGAATTTCTGTCCCAATGACCACATCACTCTCCAGGCCACTTCTCCTCAGGTACCCATGCACCCATATCCCATGATCAGTTGCACCCAGATGAGCACAAGCTGCAACGACACTGGTGATCTGCATTTCATGGAAAAGTTCCAAGGCCTCCTTTGGCCGCGACCACCTTGAACAAACCCAGTAATCATGGAATTCCAAGTAATAATGTTTCACTTGTTCATCTTCCCAAACAGATTCAATGCCTCATCAAGATTCCCACTTCTCAATCATCGAGTTCCACGAAACAACATCCCTTTCCAACATTCATCAAACAATGTACGTGCACTATTCAGAAACCCACATGCAGAGTACATACCAATCAACGAATTTTGAACTAAAAACATCATACTTAACGACTTGTGGATGGAAGCTCCGGCCTGTGTGCCGCCATCAACCCTACTCGTGCATTCTTTTACAAGGAACGGAAAACTGAGACAATTACAGGAAATGCCATCGCAGAGAATTTGCTTATACAGCAGCATCAACCACCCAAACGAAGAAAGAGTTTCATCCGCTGCACTGATTTTTGTACACGCATATGCTCTGATCATCACGTTATAGAGGTAGGTTTTCTTTAAAGTCAATACCAAAAAAAAGGACCTAGGCGGGTGCCTAGCGCCTAGGCGGGTGCCTAGCGCCTAGGCGGGTTTAGGTTTTTTTTTTTTTGGAACACCTTCTCAAGTACTTTGGATCAGTCTCTCTCAATTCCAAGAGTAACAGCCTGCACAAGGAGATGTTGCTGTTCTTTGAGCAGGGCCTTCTTCTTGCTTTCGAGTGAGCACATTTGGTTTTGGAGAGAGAGCATGTGATCTCGTATGAGATTTGGATCAATAGCAGGCAGGTGTTCCCAGAAAGCCCCCAGAGTTTCCTCCCTTTGAAGCTTTTCCCTTTCTGCCTCATAAATCTCAAGCTCAATTCTCTCAAGTCTGCTAGTGATGATATCCATGGCTGCACAAAGCTCAAACTCAAAGCTCTTTCATGCCACCTCAATAAACTCTTTTTTTTATAGTTGGATTCTCTTTCTTAATTCTGAAATAAAAAATCAAATGGCACACACTCACCCACAAGGGGCTACTTCAAATTATGACACACACCAGAAACAAAGCAAAAGATAAATACAAGAGATGAGAGGGGCATGCAGAAGCACAAGTGTCCAACTCATGCTACGTGGCACTGCCAGTTATTTCGGTGCAGTTTTGTTTTTTGGGTTACAATGGTGCAGTTCTTTAATTCAGTTAATTGTATGCTTTAACAGTCCAATTCCAGGAATTCCACAACCATCTCTCTCTCTCTCTCTCTCTCTCTCTCTCTCTCTCTCTCTCTCTCTCTCTTCTCCAGCTTTCTCAAATATGGTAACACTCTCTCCCTCTCTATGTGCTTGCTTATCTTTCATTTTTGGCCTCTCTTTGTAATTATTTTGTTTTTACCCATGTCATTTATTCTGAAGAGCCGATATATAGTAAAACTAATGAAGTTGTTTCTAGACAAAGGGTTCTATATGGAAATACCCGTATAAAGTTTAATATTTTATTATACACATATATATCTATTTTTCAATAAAACATTTGTGTTCTGTACACGTCATAAAGACTCGATAAAATTCACGTTTTTGAAAAAGCAAACATACAATACGTATATTGTGCATGTACATATGGATTTCTCATGTTAAATACATGTATTTTTCTTGTTTAATACACATATTTTTTACAAAATTGTCAATAAGACACACAAAATTAACGTATTATACAAATAATTCTCACATATTATTGAATAAAAATATTATATATTTAAAAAATTAAATGAATTATATAGTGTTCGATTAATATATGTTTTGAATCTATATATATAAAGCAAAAGGTAGAGAATGGTGAAACATTCAAAATACCAGAAAATGTCCTTGGTTAATGCAAACATTAAGAATTGAAATTATTAATTAAGTGAGGATAATATGGTAAATTTATATTTTTTTATATTAAAAAATTTTAAAATTAAAAGAAAAATCAGATAATGGATCCTCTTTTTATGGAACACAACTACATATTATCTTTTTTAATTTTAAAATAAATTTAATTTTTTCTTTTAAAAAGCCTCTCGCAAGCACGGAAGCGCATGCAGAAAGGCTAGTATGTTGAAACTAACAAATTAATATCTATAAAGTATAAACTAATGCAGCTAACAGGTCTTTTTTCTTCATTTTTTTATAATCAAATATCTGTTTTGGCTATACCAAAGGAGGGTCATCTTGGACCAAATGACTCAATTCCAAATCTACCCACAGTTTCCTATCCTCCCAGGCTGCTGCATTTTTAAAGCCCAAGTTTAATTTCATGCCTGCTTTACAGCTCATATTATGGGTAAAAAGGGGCCCATAAGTATGGGTTAATGTGTAATTCTATATATGATGAAACAATATCCTGGTGCTCCATCCATATAAACCAAAATCAAGCTAAATATTTATTTTATTTCTTTGTTTATATAGTCTAAAATAAGAAAAGGGAAACGGACACAGACTCTGTCTTTTGTACTCCTTTTAACTATTGATCTAATAAAATTCTATTGACTTTTTATAAAATAAAATAAAAGAATACAGGAAAGGAAAGGGGTTTCCAAAAAAAGCTGAAAATTGTATCTTATATGGGGAAATGTTTACTATTCTAGGGCCATGATCAAAGTCTTATGAAAATAAAACCTTCCCTTATTTAGATTGTACCTCTAAATCTAATCAAACACATGAAAAAGAAAAAGAAAAAAAAACCCAAAACTGTTAGCAGAAAATAGAATTTGCACTTTTTTTACCATTTCTGTGCGCTGTTTATGTTTAAAGCCAGATTGCATGTGTAGGTGGCTTATCTTTCACTCAAAGCAAAGCAAAGAAGTTGCAGAAAGAAACTCAGTTTGGGGAAGTGGCAGGAAAGTACCACTGCCTCTGTCACGGCACACTGCGATTGTCTTTTCTTTTACCAGGCAGATAATTTTTTTTAAAAATTATTCTTCCAAATTTATCCCTCTAGATTTTTACCCAAGAGTGGTAAAAAAGTTAGGCCTGCGGTGACGTCAGCACTGTCAAAGCCTATGATTACTCAGAATTCTTCAAAAGAAAAATAAAATCCAAATCTAGTGAAAGAGATCTTCAGCTTCAACTTTCTTCATTAAACCCGTTGCAATTTCCAGAATTTAATGCATCATGAGATTCTATTAGGGATGAAGCATTTATGGTGATGAAAAGTTGATCGTTATTTTTCATAATAATACAAAATTATAACGGTCACATAAAAAGGGTTTTACCATTTTATGCATGAAAAAACTTTAGTCTTTGTAATTTTTGTTTTACTAATATAGCATTTTTCCAGTGTAAAGTAATAGAATAGAAGAGGCAAATGTTTAGAGCTCAACTTTTTATTTTTACTTTCTAAATTCTCTCACATTATGAGAAATCTAAAATATTGTGGGGTGCACATAGGACCCATCACTAGAAGATCTAGGAAATGTAATCAAGAGAAAAATTCCACATAGGACCCATCCCTAAAAAAGTCAAAGGAAAAATATCGTACGATAAAAAGTTTGCATTTTCAATTTATCCATATAAAGTTTGCATTTTAAGTTTCATCTAAGTGCAATTATGTACTATACGATGTGCAAGTGCATTGTTTTATCGATTGTCCGATTTTGATCTTTTAATCTTTTTAGCCAACAGTTAAAACGTGAATCGCAATAGTGTATAGATCTACCATAGAAGAACTTTATATTTGATTAATTACATTAAATTTCACGTTTTATTTTAGTGATAATATTATCCTTGTTTGTCTAAAAGAGAATCCTTGTGATTACTTATTAGAGATTATTTTCTTGTTTGTTGGGGACGTCTTTATTGAGTAATTAGTTAAATAACTCCATGGAGGAGAGGAAATCAAGGTTCCAAAAATATGACATAATAAAGTGGGCCGCTTAATTTGTCCCAATCTCTGTCAGAATATTTTTGGGATTAGAATTTAGATAAGAGCTGAGTTGGGGGATTGGACAGGATCGTAATTTCACAATTATCACCCACTAAGAATAACCAATATCTAATTAATATTTAATAATAATCCCAATAAATCCAGAAAAGGAAATCTTATTCAAACTAGGATTTAAAGACCGTAATGGTACGTTGGGTAATTTCGAGCCAAAACGCGGGGTATATAATAAACGTATTGCTGGATGCAGAGCTCATCGTCGTCTATATATGCAGCTTCTGAATAACATTGCGAAATCTCTCTCTTCGTTCTCTTAAGCTCTGATCCGCCGCTTGACGACGCCGTTGGAACGTTAGACGAACCGAGGATCCGGAAAATCACATCAATCCGGATAGATCCGAAGGGCCTGATCCGATCCAGCTTGGTATTCTTCTTCACATTCATAGATCTCTCTCTCTCAGAATTTTCTCTTGGATCATTAATCGGATTGCTGTTGTTTACATTAAGCGTAATTACAAAGATTTTGACTGAATACTCGTTGGTAGATCCAATAATCAAATTGGTTTTTCAATTCTGTCTTTTTGGCCATGTGATATTGAAAATGTCGTTGTCGTATTGGTGCATGATGTTGTTGGTTTGGACTTTGGATCTGAATGAAGTTGTTGTGATATGGATGTGATTGTTAGTAATTGTAAAGATTGTGGCTTTGCATGTTGGGTTGAAGATATAAATAGTGCTGATGATAATGATGTGATGTTTGAAACTTAATTGGGTTGGTGTTGTTGGATTCGGTGGTGTAGATCTCTATCAATACAAGAAGGCTGTTGAGATGGCATCATCAACAGCTGCGGCCACAGGATGGTACAGAGGGAGAGTGAAGGCAGTTCCTTCAGGGGACTCCTTGGTCATCATGGCCCTCACAGCCAACAAGGCAGGACCCCCACCTGAAAGAACCATCACTTTGTCATCGCTTATGGCTCCGAAACTGGTAAAACAAATAACGTCCCTTTGCGTTCCATCCACCCATGTATTTTTAGCTTCCTGTTTTCGTAGCATTGTTGTAAATTCTTGGTCTTTTGCATCATTCAAGGATTGTGCTGTTATGTATTATGATTTTGTTTTAGCTCAATTTTCTGCATTAGTCGTGGATTAGCCCGGTTGTTGACGTTGTTTTGGTGGTTTGTTGTTATTGTTATGTTTTGTATTGCTAGGCTCGTAGAACTACCAAGGATGAGCCATTTGCATGGGACAGCAGAGAGTTTCTGAGGAAGCTCTGCCTGGGAAAGGTGCTTATTTTAAATAATTTTTTTTTGCTTTGTTATCATAATAGTATTCATTTTAAAAACAATAAGCATGATGCATCCACCTCATTATATTTTCCCAACAGGAGGTGGCTTTCAGAGTGGACTACGTTGTACAACAGATAGGGCGAGAATTTGGCTCAGTTTTTCTTGGTGACAAGAATGTTGCAATGCTGGTTGTTGCTGAAGGCTGGGCAAAGGTTTTTATCTTTTTTGTTTCTACATCTATGGGTCACTAATTTTGTATTTAATGTTTAATCTGAATGGGTGTAAGCTGAATCTTATTTTTTATTTATTTTTGTGTGCAGGTCAAGGAGGTTAAACAGAACCAACAGAAAGGAGAAGCTAGTCCTTATATTGCAGAGCTGCTACGTCTCCAAGAACAAGCTAACACCCAGGGCCTTGGTCTCTGGAGCAAGGTATGCATTTTCCCTCCTTATTTCTTATATTGTACATATAACTTGTTACAGCATGTTAGAAGTTAACTTCAAATTTGTTACATAAGCATTATCATTTGTTCTTAATTGCAGGTTCCTGGTGCTGCTGACACATCCATTAGGACTCTACCGCCCTCTGCCATTGGTGATCCAAGCAATTTAGATGCCATGAGTCTGTTGGCTGCAAATAAGGGCAGGCCCATGGAAGGTATTGTTGAGCAAGTTCGTGATGGAAGCACAGTTCGGGTCTACTTGCTTCCCGATTTTCAGTTTGTTCAAGTATTCGTTGCAGGAACTCAGGTATGCATTCTTTCTGCATCTGGACAAGTGTGCACAAAATTTGGTTTCTATCTACTTCATAATCAAAAGTACTAATATGAATATAAAACATATTTTTCTCTGTTCCAATTAGGCCCCATCAGTGGGAAGGAGACCTATAGCTTCAGAAGTTGTTGCTGAACCCGAAACAACTTCTGATAAAACAAATGGTGATGTTTCTACTGAGCCTCGAGCCCCTCTAACTTCTGCCCAAAGAATTGTAGCTTCAACAACATCATCTGTTGAAATTGCTGCTGATCCATTTGCACTGGAAGCTAAACATTTTACAGAAACTCGCGTGCTGCATAGAGATGTAAGGAAATTTCTACTTTAGGTTATCTTGGACAGTGAGTTTATTACAATTTTATGAATATTGTGGTTGATTTATAGGTCCGCATCGTTCTGGAAGGTGTTGACAAATTCAGCAATTTGATTGGGTCAGTATATTACCCGGATGGAGACTCAGCGAAAGACCTGGCCCTGGAGCTTGTTGAAAATGTAAGAGCTTAAACTGTGCAGTGATTTCACATTTAACATTGACAATGACTAATGTGTTCATATTACTGAAATTTGGAATACTTATCACATGCTTTCAATCTTTTCCATGTAGCTTCTTGCATGCTTTAATGTTAGTTTGCAGATCTTTTATATCCTCTCTCAGACTTGTAGTTATCTGTTGTAAGACCTCTAAAGGGAATGCTGTCAATGCTCGAACTTTTTGTCTAGGGTTATGCAAAATACGTTGAATGGAGTGCTAACATGATGGAAGAAGATGCGAAGAGGCGGCTGAAGGCTGCAGAGCTTGAAGCTAAGAAAAGCAAGTTGAGGATCTGGACAAACTACGTACCCCCAGTTACAAATTCAAAGGCAATTCATGACCAGAATTTCACTGGCAAGGTAGTATTTACTTAAATCTATGATTATCTAAATTGATGTCAACACTATGCTTAGTCATATGTATTCGCACATAATTGATTTTTGCTTTCTTCCAGGTTGTGGAGGTTGTCAGCGGGGACTGTGTCATTGTTGCTGATGATTCTGTTCCATTCGGCAGTCCACTAGCAGAGAGGCGAGTTAATCTTTCAAGTATTAGGTGCCCGAAAATGGGCAATCCTCGTAGAGAAGAAAAGCCGGCTCCATATGCCCGTGAAGCAAAAGAGTTCCTGAGAACCCGCCTTATTGGACTCCAAGTATGAGAACCAATTTTGATACATTGATTTCTGTGTGATAGAAATCTCTCTCTTGGTTGGAAATAATTTTTAATTTTATATTTGGCATGTTTTGCAGGTGAATGTTCAAATGGAGTATTCAAGGAAGATCACGGCAGATGGAGCTGCAGTTTCTACTGGACCTGCAGATTCCAGAGTCATGGATTTTGGATCAGTCTTCCTTGTAAAGGCTGAGGGTGATGATGCTCCAGCACCTGCTTCATCTGCTCCTGGCAGCCAGCCAGCTGGGCTGAATGTTGCTGAACTGGTGGTTGCACGTGGCTTTGGCACTGTTATTAGACATAGAGATTTTGAAGAGCGGTCAAACTATTATGATGCACTTCTTTCGGCGGAATCACGTGCTATTGCTGGCAAAAAAGGAATACATTCTGCCAAGGATCCTCCAGTGATGCACATTACAGACCTGATGCAGGTGAGAAATAAAATATAATCATTAAAGGGATGGATTCTTGTTGTAAGAGTCGGAATTTAAATTTCACTCATTCCTTTGTTCATATTGTCTCTTCCAGGCATCAGCTAAGAAAGCCAGAGATTTCTTTCCGTTCTTACAAAAAAGGAGGAAAATTCCTGCCGTTGTGGAATATGTCTTTAGTGGCCATCGTTTTAAACTATTGATTCCCAAGGAAACATGCAGCATTGCCTTTGCATTCTCTGGTGTCAGATGTCCCGGTCGTGGGGAGCCCTATTCAGATGAAGCAATTGCGCTAATGAGACGAAGAATAATGCAGAGAGATGTTGAGGTTAATCTCATTTAGCATTAAAATCTAGTAGCTTTCCCCTTGGTTTTGTTCTTGCTTTGATAAAATTGTCTCTCTTTTCCAGATTGAAGTTGAGACTGTTGATAGAACTGGAACTTTCTTGGGATCTTTGTGGGAGTCAAAGTCAAAGACCAATGTGGCGATTGCCCTTGTTGAAGCTGGCCTGGCAAAATTTCAAAATTCCTTTGGCGGTGAAATCCCAGATGGGCACCTTCTTGAACAAGCTGAGCAATCTGCAAAAAGGCAGAAATTGAAAGTATGTGAAGCACAGAATACCTGCATAATACAGCTGTCTTCCTGTTAAATATGCTAATTTCATTTCTTTCTCTTTGCAGATTTGGGAGAACTATGTTGAAGGAGAGGAAGTTTCCAATGGTTCAGCTGTCGACAACAACAAACAGAAAGAAGTGCTAAAGGTACTTAGAATGTGATTGCATCAATTAATGCCCCTTCTGTGTGCTGTAAAATGTTAATTAACATCTGTCCTGCTCTTTGTTTTCAGGTTGTGGTAACAGAAGTTTTGGGAAGCGGTGGTAAATTTTATGTTCAGACAGCTGGTGATCAGAAAATTGCCTCTATACAGCAACAGCTTGCATCTTTGAGTATTCAAGAAGCTCCCGTGATTGGTGCTTTTAATCCTAAGAAGGGTGACATTGTCCTTGCTCAGTTTAGTGCAGATAATTCTTGGAACCGAGCAATGGTGAGTTACAACCTGAAAAATCAGTTTTATTTTCCAATTGTAATAACTTTTTTAATCTTCTGAGTTATTTCAGTGCATTACAGCATACTTTTTTTTCCCTTCCCTCCCTTTCCCATTTTTTCTAACAAACTGTTCCATTTTTTACATTGTTAGCATTTTTTTTTTACAAGAAAATGAGTCTGGAAAATATTTCCGATGAACAAATTGAGATGACAAACATATTGTATTGATTAAGATTTATCTCCAGTCCTTTGCTTCAAGGAAAAAGATTTTTCTTATTTTTAACTGGAAAGTGAACGTTCTATAACCACTTGCCACTTGCCACTTGCTGATATAATAAGTTTCACTAACAAAGTCTATAATTAGCATGATAGTTTACATTAACTGAATTACATCTGAGTGTGAGTACACTGAATGTTCCTTACGCTGAGTCTTTGAATATTTTCAAAATTTCTGACTTTTGTATTTCACATGCAAAGATTGTCAATGCACCTCGAGGAGCTGTGGAATCCCCTAAAGACAAGTTTGAAGTCTTCTACATTGATTATGGTAATCAAGAGGTTGTCCCTTACAGTGAGTTACGGCCTCTTGACCCTTCAGTTTCCTCTGCACCTGGTCTTGCTCAATTATGCAGCCTTGCATATGTTAAAGTCCCGAGCTTGGAGGAGGACTTTGGTCAAGAAGCAGCAGAGTATTTAAGTGAGCAGACATTAAATAGTTCCACAGAGTTTAGGGCCATGATTGAGGAAAGGGATCTTTCAGGGGGAAAAGTTAAAGGCCAGGGAACTGGACCGGTTCTTGTTGTGACTCTTGTCGCTGTGGATGCTGAGATCAGTGTAAATGCTGCCATGCTTCAGGTATGAGTTATAACCCTCTGCTTTATTTGCGGTGCTTTTAAAGCTTGCGTCTCTTAAATTTGTCATATGCACTTAGCAGAACTGATCCATTCCGAAAATATCTATTTTGTTGTAATTTTTCGTATGCACATCATCTGCAAAAGGAAAGATAAAAGCATATGGCAGTTTGAAGTTTTGGAACTTCTAACTTTTATTTTCAATTGTTTGAGGAGCCTGATGTGGTATCCTTGTGTTGCATTTGAGGGAGTCGTATCCATATTGCATAATACCATCCATCCTATTTCAAGTTTGTGAATATATTTGAGGGAGTCCCTTTTACCATCCTATACGTAATACACATACCAAATTTCTGACTATATTGGGTTTTTTTATGTGATCTATAATCCATTTTACTTGTAATCTAAGGAAGAACTTAATACATCTGTTGTGAACTTACGAGTAATGTTATTTGTAATTAATAATACTCTAAAACATTGTCATAGCCATGCTTCTTTCCAAGTTTTGAGGGCTTGCCAGATTTCCTACTGGCTGTGTCCCATTTTCAATTAAATAGAATCCTCATAATATATAATTGTATAATGCTTATCTTAATCTTTTAAAGCTTTTTCTCCTGAATTTCTTTCTGAATCTCAGCTCTTCAAATTTGTGAAATTTTCAGGAAGGACTTGCTAGGTTAGAGAAACAGAAGAAACGGGAAACTAAGGAGCGGAAGACGGCAATCGAGAACTTGGAAAAGTTCCAGGAAGAAGCAAGGGCTGATAGGCGGGGGATGTGGCGCTATGGAGACATCCAGTCAGATGATGAGGACATTGCTCCTCCCTTAAGAAAGGCTGCTGGCAAGCGATGAACGTACAATAGTAGGGACATAAACCAAGTTACATCCCCTGTGGCCTAAGATGCGGTTAAGTTTTAGGGATGTATCATCTGCTTTTTAGAGTAAGAGGGAAAGGAACATGTTGCAGCAAAAACTTGCTTAAGTTTTGTTTTCGGTCTCCCGGATTGTTTTTTTAGATGAGGGAACAATTTTTTTTAGACAATTCCAATAAGGTAAACTCAAACCATATGTGTTCAGTCTCTCTTTGAGGCCAGCACAGACAATTTTGTCTGTCGACCAAAAAGCTTAACAATTTGTGCTTTTCATTTATTTATAGGGTTAATGACAGCTTAGTACTTGTGGGTATGCTCTTGAGACATGTTAAATCCCTACATTCTCAATTTTTCCAATAACATACTTCGGTCTTTTAAATTTGTTACAATGTGGTTTTGCCGTTAGGGTTTTCGTTAAATCTTGACATTAGGGTTCTATATTTTTATATTTTTATTTATTTTAAATTGATTAGAATATGAATAAAATTTTATATTTTTGGAAAAATATTGAGGAAAAGGATATAAAAAAAATCCTAGGACCACTCAACCAAACCAGCGCTCCCCTTCCCCCGACGATTTCTTCTCACTGCCCACATCCCAAACCCCCCACCCCCATCAAGGCCCCAGCCAACCTCTCTCTCCCTCCAAACAATCTGACAATGTTTGCCCAAAAAAAAGGTTTTATTTTCAAACTTTTTTACTCGACCAAATAAACACAAGCATTTGCAAAAGTTTCCAAAACTTATCAAGACATCCACACCCCAAAATCCAGCCCCCCTTGTACTTCGTTGAACCAAGCCGCCGCCTCCTAATATCTCTTCATCTTCCTCTTTCTCGGATTTAAACTTGGCGAGGTACTGTGTCGGCGTTGCAACGGCTAAAGAACTAGGCGACGAAGACGGCCACATGACCTTGGGCTTCGGTGGTGGTTGAATCTTTTATTGTGGTTGGGCTGTGAACTCCTCGACA